CCTGAAACTACAATTACAAAAAGTGAAAATGCTAGGATCTCAAGTCATAGGTTGGAATGTACATGCTAGATTACGTTTTAATGAAGCTTAACAAACTTAAAAATTCCAGTAGTGACACTTTTTATTTCATCTTCTGGTACACATTTATGTATTCCTTTTTCATGAATCATGACACTTGCATTAATGATGATACACTGTAGTACCACACGTGTCGCCACTCACTGAATGACAGCTTCTCTGCAACAAGTGTATACTTCATTTTGGCAAGCTCTTTTCTTTCTCGCTGTCACTGAGGGAAATTAATAATATTGCACGCATACACACACAAGACAAGAAAACCTGCAAACAAACTTAATTAAAATTGCACACAGAAAATAGTGTTTGCCCCAAAGGCAAAAATTTTATAGAACAGCGCAGTTAATGATCTAATTTCTGTCATTAATTATACCATTTAGGTATTGCCTTATAAACTACATTCAACAATATAATAGCAAACATATTCTTACACCACTTAGAAATGACTTGAATATTACAAATAAATTAAAATATTAAGTTTTTAAATAAAAAATCTCTAACCAAAAACATATTTCCAAACAAAGACCTTAGCCTTCAAGAGAAATTCACATCATAAAGGCTTTAATATACTGTTTTTTCTTAAAAATATGTGCAAAATGCATAATTAGTCCTCGTTTTGACCAGTTTCATACTATACATGAATTTCAGAACTTTCAAGGTCAACAATAGTTATTCAAAAAATAGTTTGTTTTTTTAACTTCCTTATGTTTTAGGTACATAAGTTTCATCTAAAAGAACTTTATCATCAGCAAATATATATTTAATACATGTATGGAACATTCCTCCTTACTGCATGTTGTTCCCACAAGGCATACGAAATCACACACTTATATCTAATCTGATACACAGCTGAAGTAGGTTAAACTGATTACATAAACCTAATAGGAATTGCCATTTGATGTCCTTAATTTATTAATGAAGTTACAAGTTATTCACCGTCATTTCAATGTGTCTGAAGCTCCTACAAACCAACGCTGTAATTCTTGCTTTCTACGTTAAATCCTTTATTGCAAAACGTTTAAATTCTGGTACATCAACTGTAACAACATAATACTTTCTAGAAGATAAATAATTTTGTTAAGAATTTATATTTAATTACTGGATAAAATCCTAAAATATTTATCCCCCATTAACTGAAAATACTGAAGCACGATCCTCTTCTTTAATCTAAATGGACACGTAACATGTTGTAATTTGTTACAAAATATCATTACGATAAATAATTGATAATCATTACTATGTTTCAATTTATAGATGTACTTTCTATAAGATTTATGAAGTTTATGAAGATAAATACTGATAATATAAAAAGTACATTTCTGTACATATACCAGCATAGAATTTCAGGAACAAGTGGCAATCCTAACGTACTATTTACACACTACGACAAAATAAAATAACTAGTATTTTAAGTTGTCTACAATATGTCACATTTAGCGACATGTAAATTATATGTAAGTACATTCCAATCAGATAACACTTCATTATAGAACACAGAACACATAAAAAAATGTGTGAAATGTAAAATTCACAAATATAGTCTTCTCACGGATCAATTACTTTGGAAATAATAAACTACTGTGTAGTCATTTGGAAGTATGCAATGTTTCCCACCCACGAAAACTTGGAATGACAATTGTATGGAGAATAGGAGGCGGCGACCGTTAAACTCGATATTCTGCCCAACTAAACTTGCACGTCCGTCTAGCGCCGCCAATTCCCAGCTATCACAACACAGTTTTAGACCAGGCACTTCTGGCCTCAAAAACAAATATTACCATATCTATAATAAATGACGCAGCTATACATAATAAAAGTAAATATTTTTACCATAAATTTTATACATTAAATGCAGTATATAGAAATATATTTATAACTGTATCTGTATTAATATTCTGTGAATTAAATTTTTAAACAGTCCAACCTTTCAAAATAATAACACAAAATCTATATAAAAATCCACATTTATATAATGGATTCATGTGTACCTACTTCTGTTCATAGAAGCGGAGTTAACCGAACTATATGTGGAAGGGATGGTTGATATCTATTGCCACTTTATTCAACAATTTGAGGGCCTGAGGTGACTTAAAGTAGGAACTTACATATCATCCATTACCTCATTACACGATTAAGAGAAATTTGCTACAAAATGCCTGTTAGATAAGACATGAGGTTTTCGTGGCAGTGAAAATATGAATTAGGGTTATGAGTTTTTCTGTAAAATGCTGGCAGACACTTATAAGACTTGTAGCTGTTTCTCTCGCTTTAATGTCAAATTATTCTCAATATGAAATATGACATAAGTAATGAAATAACATAAATACAAAAGAATAACTTTTCTAAAATTAAACAATTTCTATTTAGCCATAATAAATATTTTAAACTGTTAAATTATGGCTATTGAAAAGCAGATATTTACTTTCGACCCTCGGACCATCCCCGATCTTTGGCGTAGATCAAAAGATCACGACCACTATCTATGTTTACTACAAGGTATTTCAAAGTTAACCAATAAAATTCACCAAAGCAAATCTGTTTACTTCCATACCAGTATCTAGCAAATATGATGCAATTTTATTCTATCCCCAAAGGGGAAAATACTTTTCTAATCTCGCCAACAGTCATGCCAACAGTAGCGTAGAATATAGGAAACACGTTATCGTAAAAATTGTTTAAGCAAAACGTAACTTACTGAAATATCCTGACTAAACGATCCCTTCTTCAGCATCCATTTATATCATTTTACTTGGAAATATAAATTAACATCCCTTAAATTGTTCATGGTTAGAAACAGTTAAGAAACAAATGCCATAGTAAAGTAGCAACATACATAAATTTAAAAATTACCAGTCGAAGTACACATTCATGTTTTTATCGTACATCAGATCGCCTTCATCGGAAACCCTTTTTGAAAAATCTGCAGTGCACGTCGGATCGCCGG